GTTTTGATGCAAAAACGCATGATCGCACCGGCTCGCCTGGTGCGTTCCAGCCTTTGTTTTTTTTTGGTATTTTGGAATGCAAATAAGATAGTTTTCATTTTTTCTTCAAATTTTATGTGATATTGTGTTGCAGGCTGGATGAGAGGCATCGCTTAATTGCAGAGGGCCGCCTGCCGCCCATATCCTATGAATGGGAGAAGGAGTTGTGGGCGAAACGCGAGCGATTCGGTAAATACGGTCTGGCAAGTGGTGTTGATCCCGGTGAGCTATGGCCAACTGTTGAAGTGAATTCTGTTTGTTTATTTTGTCCATCCTCTCTGGTGTTGTAATATTGCTGAGAATACTTTGCATGATATGTAGTTACAGTGAGTACATCGCTTCGTGGTCAGCTGCTGCACTGTCCCCCCATCTTGGCATAGGTATTTATAAACTGTTGGACAACAGGACGAAAAACAGGTCCACGTCATGCCGAAGAATAGTGAGACATCAGATTGACAAAGTGGATCTTACATGCAGCGTTTTAAATGCACACTGTGAAGGCCGACAAAAAGATGGAATGGCTGAAATTAGAAAAGAATTGAGAGATTATCAGCTACTACTGACAAATCTGAGGATCACTAATCGTAGTGTCAAAATGAGTATAAGCACCACTGGTCTCATATATTTTCTTATTTGGAATACCTGGATAAGCGTGAAGTGTAGTTACTCCGTCCAGGCGCCGCTACTTCAACTGACTTCTGGTTGGCCAGATATTTACACCGCCATCCATCTTTTTCGTCAACTGCGAACTCTGCTTGCGCTGTCATATATTTTATCCATCCCAGTATTCTGTTGACTGCTATTCCATTAATTTACTTCTTCCTTATTTCCGGTGCAGATGACAACGTTCATACTTTTTTCTGTCTTCCATTTAGAAACAAATTTTTGAAATTACTTTTAAGCTTGTTTGGTATATCTGATATATTACACAAAACTGAAGCGTACAGCGATCTGTACTTTCAGGCATATGTATTTTTAGGATTTTCCTTGACTCCATCATTGTGAAGGGTACTTCTGTGCCGCCATTTTTTCTATTTTCATTTGCAGAAATGCGATTTGGAAGAGTTAAAAAGTGTATTTTCCAGGAAATTCAAGAACAAGAAGCTATTGGATGGTATGGGAAATTCAGTGACGTTCTGAAAAAAGTGCAGAATGCAAAGAAAACTGAGCACGCTGCTGCTTTAGCAAGGTGGGCACCTTCTTTTCACACATTCAAATTCATGGATCTATTTATCAGCTGTATTGTTCCAGATTGAAGGAAGTAGCCACAGCCGAAAGTAAATATCCGGAAATGTTTAAAGAATTTCTGGACACTCAAAAAGAAGTGGTACCAGTGAAAAGCAAACAAGAATTGGAGGCGGAGCAGCAAAGAAAAGAATTACTGGAATATTACGGATATGAAATTGTGCAGGAGGATCCGAGATTTCCCATTTTGCTCGAGAAAATGATGGATGCGAAGAAAAAGGTCTGCATACTTTAATTCGGATGTAATGTATTGGCCCTTTCACGGTATCGCTAGTTTCGCTCTTCTTGAAATTACACTTCTGATGATCTTTCGTACGTGGGCTGGACATATCCAGTAATAGCCAAAGCGGCGAGTTTTATGTATTTTAGGTGACATCCATTTCTTGAAATTCTTTAAGTTAATGGATATTTTGTGTTTTCATAGCCGGTCGATTGCACTGTGGTGTTACTTCTATCTGACCCAAAGGTTCAGTCAGTTGTTCTTTTTTTGGCAAACTCGATGGAAGGTTTTTCGAAACCAGGATCAAATTCCGTAATTTCGCTTCTTAGCTCCTTTAGAGATCCGCTGGTGCTTATTTCTTTCCTTTGTATGTGACGCGGGTTTAAATCGTCTCCAGTGAAGGTTGGTTGAAGGTGCATATCCCAAGAGCACAAGAACAGCACGAATCCCGAAGCCTGTTAAGACTTCGAACCATGTTTCACAGATAGTTTTGAAGACTGACGGAACAAAACATGCAAAGGAGAATGGGCAGTGTGTTTTTTCTTGTCATTCTGTTTTATAAGAGAAAAAAAAAACCTGTTCACGAAACAAATTGTCGATGAGGCTATTTAATTTTTTGGTAAGGACTGCCGTCCGCCGATTAGCTGACCGGCATGAAATATCGTTTGCTTGACTTCGCATTTTTTCCCGTTTCATTTCACTCGATGTCAGGAGAATTTTAAGGCTTTGAAATTGGCTGAAAAAGAGGAATTGACGAAGAAGAAGCGTGCTTCGAGGAAGAAAGAAAAGGAAAAGAAGGATGAGAAAAAGGAAGAAAATTCGTGATTTTGTTTTTATAAAATTTAGAAATAAATGTTCAAATCGGTGATTTTAGCTTGTTTTTTAAAGGTTAACCCCTATCGCTTTGACGAGTATTGCAGTTGGTAATAATTTTTAAATTGTAAATAATTTGGTAGCATTTCACTGGCATACTGTTTGTGACGCATAATAATTGGGTAATAGACTGTGTGTTTGTTTCATCGGGGGAATTTATTGCAATTGGCAGCAGTTTGGTTAGTAGGCATAATTTTGCTGACGCAAAAATTACATCATTTTGCTGAAAATATTTGCCAGATTTGAGGAGCAGTTTTTGGTGGACTTGATAGAAGAAGGCATTCTCCACACAATCATTGAGCTTGAAAAAAATCGATTTATTGCAACAAAATTTACCGCCCACCTCTGTGTTTTTATGTTCTGGTACTCCCTGATTTTGAAGTACAGTTTGCTTTCTTACCTTGTGCATTTAGATCTACGGCTTTTTGTCTTTGTGCCCTGAAAGAATGGCTCAAACTAAGCATTATTGAGCGTGCGTAAATTGTCGCCTTCACATAATTTGTCCATTGTTTCAGATTTTGTTACGAATTCGACGTGGAACTTGTATGCTGTGGAACTGTGGCAATGGAGCAGACCATTGTTCAGTGTATTGGTTACAGTGAGGGCGGCAAATGCGGCTACTGCAATCGTGACGGTCAATACAGGCACACTTTTGGTGATTTTAAAATTTCTCTTTTACTTAAGCAGTTGCTTTAAAATACTGTCGGATGCCTAATCAGAGGACTGAGCCACGTTCGCCTTTGATACATAAAACGTCTCACCAATTTAGCTTACGGAATAACCTTCTAGAAGAATCATGATGTTTGTTAGGTGCAC